TCATCCGCGGAGAAATTGAGCATCCTTGTCCGGGTCTTCTTCATTTGGGTCTGTGTTTTTTGAGGGTACCTTTTGTTTGGTGGTTTGTTTCGGGAGGGGTTTCTATAAGAAGAACCTGGAGGTTTGCCGAAACCACCTTTAGCCGATGTAAGGATCAGCTCAATCAAGCTTCTCTTCCAACGGGGTCATGCGACCTGTGCGTTCCGTCCTCTTGGGCCAGGAAGGATTTGCTCCAGAGTGGGACATGCGTGGTTTGGGCCCAGTTTCTATGCCAAGAGGGAATCACCTTAAACTTTCCGACAAAGTAGACGTGTATGGCGCTGTCAATCTATCGGCAGCCGGAGAAAATAAGACACCTGCTCCAACATTGGGGCCCAACCCCTCCCTCACACGAAAAGGGGGGCCCCGGGTGGCACCGGAAGCGCGGACCCAAAGGCAAGAAGCGCTCGCCCATCCAACTCCGGTATCACAGAAACGACTTTTGCAAAGCCAAGAAGTCCGCGGCCATGTTTTTCCGTGTAGGTGCTATTGTGACGTGCCCTAAGGCCTCCCTTAAGAGGTGTGGAATTTGGGGACGGGCTCCAGCTGTAGAAAGCTCCCCCCAAAAAACAACGTGAAATCTGGAGGTCTGAGTCAATTCGTCTCACATTTGGTGGGCCCCTCAGGAAGAAATCCCCAAGATTTTGGCAATGGTGAATTCACTCAAAAACCACGTGCATCTCAAGGGGAGTCAACCGCCCCCATTTGGCCCCTCAGGAAGAAATCCCCGATGTATTTCCACAAGTTGTGAATTGCCCCCGAATCACGTGACATCTGCAGGGGGGTCATTAAGGAAAGTTGCAAATTGACCACCAAAGCAACACGGTGAAGTTTGTGCGAAAGAAATCCTCCCAGTTCGCCAGGGGAGGGGCTGGCCGCTTCGCTGTCGGAAACCTCAGTCTCAAGGCAAGAGCTGTCCGGTTCGGTCGGGGGAGAGAGCACTGGGACCTATGCATGTCGGGGTTCGGATTTCACCACAGAAGGGTAGTCCAGGGGCCCAAGGTGGTGTCAACAAGCAACAAATGACACATAGGCTTTGCCCAAGGTCCGTTGGCTTCGCAATGGTCTGTGAGTTTTGAGGACATGATGTATCTAGGATTTGTGTTTTATGAGGTCGTTTGTTCATGGTTGCCTAGTTGTATTGCTTATAGGTCTATGGTGTTGGTCTGTGGTACATACATGCTGCCACCCAACAGGGTCTTCATGCTTTGATTCCGTTTATTTCATTGGCGGCCGGGCTTGGTTCCAGGTCTTAGCTCTAGCAAATCCTTGTGAGCGGCCAAACCTCGCCATGTTAGCAGGTTCCCCGACTTCATACCAAAAAGTACCCTTGGCAATTCTGTTGCCAGCGCCCCATGTCAATGGCTTTGTACTGTTGTGGGCGCTGCTCATGGTTTCACGTGGGCGTGTCTTTGTGTTGGTATTTCTTTTGCATGGTTTAAAGGGAAGCCAAAAGGCCCATATCTTAAGACACACTCTCGTCTGCGGCCTTCTGCTGCGCGGAGAAGCACCCGGCAATCGAGCTTGCCCCACTGCACGCACGAGAAGGATAGCTTAACGCATGTTGTGTCATTTTTCCAAAAGGAGGGCGGGCGTGTTTTGTCAGACCCTTCTATCTAGCACCCGGCGCTTTGTTTCCTCGGTTACGAGGGCTTCAAGACACAACGGAATGTAATTACCAGTCCCATTTCCAGGCAGCCAATGGCGCAGGTGAGGCCCGGTCTTTTCAATTTCAGGATGCTTCCTTGAAGCTTTGCACCGAAAAACCCGCCACGTTGGTCCAGGCAAAAGCACAACGCCCTGATTATTGGGGCCCCTTTTTTAACCAGGGCCACGGGGCACTGGATCCCGGATTGGTGGATGTCTTCTTCCTGAATCGCGGATGTCGGGATATCATCGGATATGCAAGTTTGTTGGTTTTGAAAGGAACTTGTCATGGCTCTGATGTACCGACGGGCCAAAATGGCCATGGAAGCCATCCATGCTGCTGAGAACAACAATAACTATCAGACTGAACTTATCGTTTTTATTTCTGGGTTTCCTTCTTTGCCCTTTTGACCTGCGAACAGTCAACTTGCTGGGGATCCTTTGGTCTTGGCAAGCAAGATGGGTGTGTCATTTGAGGGTAATATCTTTGGGATAGCTTGAATGGAAACTCAAACGGAAACCGCACCATTTTTGTCGCTGCCCCGAAAACTTGTTTTTCGTCGGAGGCGAGCCTCCATCTCCAGCACAGGTGCGCTACTGGGGGCCCTGGGGTGGATGGAAGATTTGGCGTAAGCCATTGCCACAAACAGCCATGGTGTGGATACCAAGAGCGGTCCTCTGCAGTATGTTCCATGTAGGTTCTTGATGTTTCCCTTCAAGTTGTGTCTTTGACTCAGTATGACGCATGTCTTTCGATTTGGCAAATCTCAACCAACTCGATGAAGCTTTCTTTGGTTTCCATTCGCCATACTTGCTTGCACGTCCAGGAAAGATAGCCAGAATGGCTAAGGGCCAAGTTGGGTCGGCGGTAATCCAGAAACACGTGCAAAATTCCACCCTTTCGATTCTTTGCTTAGCTTCGGGTAGGCCATTGGAATAGCTAATACCAGGTTGTTTGATTGAGACTGATCCAATGTAAACTAATCTCATGGATGCTCCTCCAAGACTCCAAGAAGCTCAGGAACCTGTTGGTGCACGGGCTTCGGTGGCCCGTTGCAAGCGAGGGTGCAACCCAACTAATCCAACGGCTTTGGCTTCCCTACCTAGCACGGCACCTCTTGTTGAATGAGCAACACTGTTCCGGAGGCTTGCCTACAGGTCCACTCACGATTAAAATACGGCGTTCATGGGTCATGGCAACGTCACTTTCATTCGGTTTGTGCTATTCAAGCGTATATACACAGACACACGCAGAACTGACATAATATATATAATGTATATTTGAAGCATTATGCATCTCTTGCAGCTTGTCTCAGGTCACTTCCCTGCTAGCTATGAACGAATTTACGCATGCGCGCAACGCGCTTTGTGCGCATGCGTCCGACAGGTACATCGCCGTGCGGTGCCTATCGCTTTAGTCTGCGGCCTCAGTCCTGGGGATTCGTTCGGGCGTGTCTTTGGGTTGGTACCTCGCTACGCGTGAGTTTGAAAGACGAACAGGAAGACAGCTATTTGGGTGCGCCTGCATCTTCATTAGTCAATTATCACGATGACATTTATGGCCCAGAGGTACATGAGGTAGGTCCCCATGTAGTCAGTTGCATGTTGTACATTCAAGTGATTGCCAAAGCATGATTCAATCACTGCTTTGGCTCAAGTGCTGAAAACAGCGCGTTGCACCGCGCTAGCCCCAAGGTTAAGGGAGAGGTCGCAGTCACGGAGGGGTTCGTTCCTTTTAAGGTCCCGGGTTCCCCCGTTGTTGACAAAACCTGTGACCTCCAATGATACATTAATTTGTGCTACGTGCTTTTTTTGCTCGGGAAACTGGCTTATAGGGCCTTCCAGAATTTGCGCTCGTTTCTCCCAAAAGCGCTCGAGGCCTTTGCTCAGGATCTTAAACCTGCAGGCACAGCACAGCCCGCGCACACACACATCATCCTACCCAGCCTGGAGCTCTGAGCCGGGGAGCCCAGAATGCAATTTGTCGTTTTGAGATCTATACAGCTAGTTTCTTCTGCGGGGGAAACTCATTGCATCCTGGCGGTGAAGTACCGCGAATACTTCATCAAACTCCTAGTCATCACACGGGTGACAATGAGCTGGGAAGCATTCAGCCTTCGCGCCAGCCGAGACAATTTTCCTACATAGTCTTCATCCGTCCAACATGCCCAGGTGAGCGGGCTCAAGATGGCGCAAGATGATTCATCGCGTAGTTGGTTTCGAAGCGGGTTCCTCGATTGGTTAAACTTCTCCATTGCAAAATGGAAAACATGTTGCAAAACATAGCCTAGCGGCAAGATGTGCGGAAAGAGATGTATCTTTGGCCGAAGCTTGTAGAGTTTCCACTGCTTCCCGGCGCAATAGCTTGCAAGGCCAGTGTATGCTTCCTTACTGCGCTCCCAAACATATTGCAGCCAAACGCTGCGCCACACGTCTTTGCGCAATCAAGGGGCTCCTAGAGCATAGCCATAATACACAACTGCAGAGGCCGTGTCCCTATCGAGCCACAAACCAGCCCCATGCAGCAAGCTAAAAAAAGTGTTGGCCGCCAAGAGGGCCCACTTCATCAACTCCACAAGATTGCGGTCCACGGCTTCCTTAGGCACCAATGTGTTTCCTTAAAAACCATCCCCAAAATCACGTGTGTGTGAAACTCGAGAATGTTAGGAGGGTGAGGGATCCCTACTTTCCACAAAAATTGTCCTCGGAAAAACAAAAACTTGGGTGCACGGAAGAAGCCCTGAAACAAACAATTTCAGCTAAACAGTCCATGGAGCAATCTTGGCCAGATTTTCTGTCAAGCTCAGTTCGTAAGCCAACCACTTGCAGAGTAGTGCAGTGTCATGTGCTTTCCCGCAGCCCTTCGGGTAGACATTCATCCTGGGACGCCGAAACAAAGGAAGCAAAACGCCAACTGTGACTACTATAGTAGGGCGAAAAACTTGACCACAACCAAGGGGCGATGTCATTTTAAACTTCTTGAGGGCAAACTCCTTGATTGAACTAGTCTTATGGTTCTGGCGGCACCAGTCGTCAAACATCAGAAAGGCTGCTCCCAAGCGTTCCGGGATGTTGCGACCATCAAAGAGCTTGAGGCGGGTCAGGGCCACCAAGGTGGATGACGCCATGTCCCCGCCAAACCCCAGGTTGAACACATGCATCAGGTCGGGCTTGATGGCATCCACATCTTGGAGGCCCGGCACTTGGCGAAGCGGTGAGACCTTTTGCTTAAAGGGAGATCCTGCCACCCCCTCCCAAGCACGTGCTTGGCCGGAAGCAGACAAATCCCACCAATCCTGAGTATGGTTGCAATTTCAGGACAATTCCGCATAAGGCCAAAAAGGATACCTGGAGAACAGATTCAGTTTTTGCAACAAACACAAACAGCATTTCTTAAAACCTAGTGCTTCCGTAGTGCAAGCGCAAACAAAAACGACCAAGGGCCAAGGTACTTCGCTTGGACATAGATGACAAACCCTTGTGCTGGTAAATCCAACCTGCAATCCGAAACTTTTTCTCAACCAAGGCCAATCGCCCTTCGCCCCCGCCATCACGGCGAAGAAGTGCTTTGTCTCTCCCGCAACCTTATTTAGGTACGTGTGTGGTCATGAGTTCGCGCACGCAGGGGAGAAACGCATGCATGACCGTGTTTTTGGGCCTTGGAGCTTCCACTGCAACTCCTTCTTCAAACAGCTTGATGAGATCAGACGCCATCCCTTCATGTAATCCATCAATGGAGGCATCATTGGCCGCATACCAGTTGGCGGGCATAACGCTATACAGTAGCCGCGTGCTAAACGAGTGCCTTGCGCGGAGTTGGCGGAATGCAAAAAACTTAAATGTAGTGGGATCTTTCTTTGCATTTCATCGAGTTTCATCGAGTTGCTTGTTGAGGTTCAACTGGTCCGGCCCCGAGTAGGGGATGAGAACCTGGAAAGACATGATGAGGAGGGGGACTTTCGCCAACCCTCGTCCCTCATCTCCATGGAGGGCAAATGGTATTGCCCTGCGCCGTTGCTCGGCACTCATGCGGCTGTAGATCGGGTGACTGCTGTTAGCAGATTTGAACTTGCACCAGAACTGCTCGAACATCTCTTCGTACGGCTCGGCACCAAGCGCAGGGTTGTGCCCTCCCAATAGGAACTTTGGGAACTTCTCCATGAGGGAGGCAAGCCAGCTGGACAAATGAAGAACTGGATAGTCAACTGGAACATCACGGGCTTTTCTTCCAGACTTCACGGGCAGCCTTTTGTGGATGGTAATGGGCACGTGTGACAGTCGGACAGGGAAGGCGTGGCCAGCTCGGTGGGCCCAGCGATGAAAATCTCGGGCTGCGTTGTGGCCACGTTTCCTTCCAGTGCGGGATCTCCGGAAGCGGGCAAGCTTTTCAATTTCCAAGTCCACAACGCCTCCCAGGTGACTGAAAAGGTTCCAAACACTACAACAATCGAGGGTGGTTATGGGCGTGGGACCCTGCTTGTGGTTTGATTGGTTGGTTGGGGGTTGATGGATCTGCAAAGTTTATGGGCGCTTTCTAAACCTCACCCCATTCACCCAAAAAAGCCTTATCATCGCTTGTTTGAAAAAATGTTCCAAACCCAACACCAGCCAGCGCCTAGCTTTCTCATGCGGTTGGCTGCCACTGCTGCCGTTCGCACTGCAGACTTTGCAGAGGCCTAGGAGCGCCGTTTAGCTTCTTGCTACATTGAAATGAAGCTGGTTTGGTCAAACCCTTTCGAGGTCGAGCAGCTCCTTCCTCCAAGTCACGCAGGAAAGAATCCAGCAGATCATCCGTCTCAGACGATGAACTGTCAGATCCTCCTGGCACCAACCCAACAAGAAATTCAAGCACGATCAGTAACAGCAACAGCAACAGCAGCAACAACAACAACAACAACAACCACGGTTGCAGGGGGTACAAAGCCACTACAAAACCACCCAAGCCACCAGCAGCAAAAGCGACAGTGGCAACAACTTCATCTTCAACATCAGCAACAGCGACGACGACGATGACGACAGCCACAGCAGCAGCAGCAGCAGCAGCAGCAGCAGCAGCAACAGCAACAGCGACAGCGACAGCGACAGCGGCAGCGACAGCAACAGCAGCGACGACGACGCCGACCACGACCACGACCACGACCACGACCACCACCACCACCACCACCACCACCACCACCACCACCACAACACCACAACAACAACACAACAACAACAACAACAACAACAACAACAACAACAACAACAACAACAACAACAACAACAACAACAACAACAACAACAACAACAACAACAACAACAACAACAACAACAACAACAACAACAACAACAACAACAACAGCAGCAGCAGCAGCAGCAGCAGCAGCAGCAGCAGCAGCAGCAGCAGCAGCAGCAGCAGCAGCAGCAGCAGCAACAGCAAGAGCAGCAGCAGCAGCAACAGCAAGAGCAGCAGCAGCAGCAGCAACAGCAAGAGCGACAGCAACAGCAAGAGCGACAGCAACAGCAACAGACAGCAGCAACAACAACAGCAGCAGCAGGAGCAGCAGCAGCAGCAGCAGCAGCAATAGCAATATCAACATCAACCGCAACAGCACCAACACAAACACCAACACAAACGCCGCCACCACAACCACCACCACCACCACCACCACCAAGAGCAGCCACAAAAGAGTTCATCCGACCAACCAAACAGTAGTTACACCCAAGGAAGGAACCCGACAAAAACCAAAAATCCAACCAGCAGGTAAACAAACGCACAGTTTAACCAAACAACCTGTAGAGGCTAAACTAGCCAAGCTTTGATGCACCTTCCCGCCCACCCACCAACCCAGCCAACACCGATTTGGGGGTCAGAACTGAAGTGAATTACAATACCCCAAGTTGGGGTGTTGTCATCTCCCGGCAAGGCCTTGGGCTGAGTTGCGCTCGTCGAGAAGGTTGAGGCCTGGCAGCGCATTTGCGGAGCCATGTTTTGAGAACACAAAAGAGCACCCCTTCGCGCTTGCCACGGTGCGCATCATGGCCTTTTTGACTCGGGACGCGTGGCTCCGCACCTCAATCCCTACATTGGAAAGCCTAGGCCACATCAACTACAACATGACACCCTAGGTGTTAGAACTGCAATCACACGCCAGGCCCTCCAATCAAAATGGGATGTGACGGGTCTTGTAAAAAGACACTACTTGGTGGGTTTGCAATCCTTGGGCTCGTTCTTAGCCTTGGGACCCTTTTCGCTGGGCTCCTTTCTCACCTTTGGCTGCTTTGCGGCCTCGGGATCAGCCGGCTCAGCATCTGGCTCACTTTTAGGATTCTTGGAGCGCTTTCGCTTTTTGGGATTCTCTGCCCGGGCGGTGTCAGGCTCTTCAGCCTTGCATTTTGGCTTCGGCTTCGGGGCCTTTCCCGACGTGGAGGAGGGGGCCGGCTTGGCTGCGGGACGGATGTTCCTTGGAAAAACTTTTCGAGTTGCTGGGGCAAGATGTCAACGAACCCAACAACATTGCAGGCAAAGCTCTTGCTCCTGCAGATGTAGTTGTTCAAGGTGACATCATCTTTGGTGCAGCTGGCATACAGCTTTGTCACTCGAGCCTTCAATTTTTCAGCAGCATCATTATCCCGTAGGAGCGCAAAACCCACCAACACTGAAGATGAACCCCAAAATAGCCGGTCAAAGCGGCGCAGCCGGGTCCAGGGACATGAAGTCTGCCTGCGCTGTGTTCAGAGAGGTGTAGTACTCGTTCATTCGCTTCAGGATGGTTGCCATTGAGTTTGCCATCCTTCGGCTCACACGATCGGACCGCGAAGTATATGTACAGACGTAACTGTGTCTTTTTCATTGTTTTCTTCTTGAGGTGCAGTCAGGCTGCTCCGTGGCACGTCCGATGTTCTTTTCCAGAAGCCGCTCCTAAAGCTTTATTGACGTCTAAACCCGATCAAGCTTCCATTGGGCACTGTTTGTAGATGCCTTTTGACCCTGCATTCGGCCAAGACTGAAAGACAAACGCACTTAAGATTGACACTCAGAGCTCAGTCCTGAATTTCAGATGCTCCATCAACTTTTTTGCCCAACACCTGAAGCCACAAGGGCAAAATGGAAAACGGCGTGTCGTTCTTCTGGAGAGCGGGAAAAAGCAGCCTGAGCGCAGCAGTCTTGTGTTGAATTGTGACGCCCGACTTGCAACATGTTGTACACATGCTGAGTAAGTAGCTTCTTGTTACCGGAGGCAGCAGCAGCTGCCTGTTTGGCAGCTTCCTGCTGCAGTTGCGGATCCTTGGGCAAGTTCTGATCGGGCTCAGGGTCAGAGTCCAGGAGAGCATCATCCTCATCCTGAGGAAAGAGGAATGTTTTTCCCAAGTCCCCAAAAGCCAAAGCCCAAGCCTCGACCAATGTGCTCCCAGCACTCCGCCGCTCTTGGCCGCTTTCGCTCTTCTTCTCAAAGTAGTCCTCCAGGATTAGGCGAGCCTCTTCTTCTCCATGGACCTCGTTGCGGCGAAGGAGGCCTTGAGCGGCAGCGTATGACCAGCTGTTCTGTATCATAGTCCTTGGCTCTCAAAGAAGCCGCAGCTCAACCCCCTTAATGAACAAACGACTGCGCTGCTTAATGTTGAGCTCCAATTGGAAAGGGGGGCCCCTTTGATTTGCAAATTTCCGAATGCAACTTTTGAGCTTTCTCAAAAATGCATAAATTTCGAAAGAAAGAAAGAAGAAACACATATCATTCTTCAATAAGGCCCTTTGAAGGGAACCGAAGTGGGGCCCTGCTACTTGCGCCCCAGAGAAAGAGGAGCGCTTCAGAACAGGGGTGGGGGAAAAACATCTTTTTCCCCAACCCCTCCAATCCACTGCGAAGTCCGGCACGTAGCCCTGATAGGCATCCCGTTGCTAGTGATGCTGGGGATGTTGCTGGGGGAGGGGGCGTTCATTTAAGCTTCCAGTCTGGAGGTTAAATGAACGCCCCCCATGGTTGCTGGTGATGCTGGGGGTGTTGGTGATGCTGGGGGTGTTGCTGGGGGTGTCGCTGGTGATGCTGGGGATGTTGCTGGGGATGCTGGGAGGGAAGGGGGTGTTCATTTATGCTTCCAGTCTGGAGGTTAAAGGAACGCCCCTCGTGGGAAGGATGTGTTGCTGTGATGCTGGGTTGGCCATACAGCCAACCCGCAAAGCGCAGTCACCGAAAAAAGAAACATGTGAGCTGCTCATGAAGGAAACCAAGAGCAAAGTTGGCAATTTGTGGGGTCGGCCGAGTGTTTTGTTTTGGAGGCCCAGTTAATTGGAAAATTGGATTAACCCCGCGACGGGCACTGTAAAGTGGACATGCAGCAAAGTGTCTCACTGTAGTGGCACTCATCCTTCAGGAATGTCTTGGTCACCCACCTTCCCTTTTTGCCATCACCGTGTGACTTCCGAGACCATTTCGAAAGATGCAGTTCAACATCCTTGAATGTGCCATGCTTCTTCAAGAGACCCTTGAGCTTTTCACCTTGGGAAGCTGCCACAACACACACGTATGATACTATGCAGTTTGCAGCTATCGAACTATAGTGCTGCCGGGCACGGTCCGAGTCTCCCCCATTGAAGAGTTGCATCAGCTCCTTTGACGCTTTGCTCTTCTTGCCGTGAATGTAGCGTCGGCACCTTGGCAATCAGGCGCCCTTGGTCAGAAGTTTGGTCGCTAGCCCGGGGCAACTCGAAACATCATGAAAATTAAAGTACGTAAAGCCCTGCCAAGCCGGAAAAGGCGCTTGTGGTACCATTTGTCAAATTTGTTTGTAGAGTTCTCGCAGGACTCGTTGGGGGAAAAGCCCAAAGGAATAGTTGAAGCGTCTTCACTATCCTCCCCATCTTCAGGCTCTTTGGGTTTGTTCTGCTGTTTGTCATCTCCCGCAATTCCCTTCTCATTGGTCCCCTGGTCCACCGCAGCAGGCCCCTGTTCCAAGGAAGCCGTTTCACAAGCCACCTGGTCCACCGCAGCAGGCCCCTGTTCCAAGGAAGCCGTTTCACAAGCCACCTCTTTAACCTCTGCAACAGCCTGAAGCACATCAGCGGGATCGCTTGGATGGTCTGACTTGGAAACCCCAGCAGCCTTCTGTGTCTTGTCAACAGGTGTTGGGACCGTAGGTGCCGATGTAGGATCGCACTGGTGCGCTTTCACTTCGCCTGCAGGTGTGGGTGTGTGGTCATCCTGGCCAGCATCACGCATGGCCCTTAGCCGCTCCCTCTCTGCTTTCTCTTCTTGAAGCATTTCCCACCTCCAACAACTGTCAATTTCACTAGTTCTTGTTTCGGTTCGGGAAACCGTGTCCGTGGCCGCCAAGGAAGTGGCCTCAGGGGGTATCTTCTCCAGGTGAGCGGCCGTCAAAGTTTGAACATTATTGCCGGGCACAAACTCCCCCGCGGAGGATTCAAACGCTGGCGCACCTTCGCTGGTTAAGAGCGCGTGAGAAATTGAGAGCTGTTGGTTTCAAGTAGGCCCTTGTGACAAGCTTTTAGGCCCCGAATGGTAGTAGACTTGCAAAACCTTGCCTGGCAATGTAGTAGCAGGTAGCTCCTTCCCCGAATTGCGGGCAGCCAGCTTCTGCTGAAGTTCCGCAATTCTTTGCCTTGAAGCCTGCGCGCCAGTTTGAGCTTACAAACGGGCAGCTGGGGACCAGTTGCAATTTGCAATGCCCTGCCTTGATGCGCTCTTTTGTGGCGTCTATGTCCACGGCCCCAGACTGCAAGACCTTTCCCTCCATGACGCGGCACCCTCCAGCTAGAGTTCCACAAGATGTAAGTCTAGAAAATGACATGCCAAACGCGCGCGATGCTTGATCCCCCGCTCACTGCAATCCGGCGCACGTCCCCAAAAAGCAATTCTGCCCGATTCGGCCAAAACCCTTTCGCTACGTTTTTTGAATTTGCGCCCTTTTGCACTTTTTTGCGCGGATTTGCGCCCGTTTTGCACTTTTTTTGCACTTTTTCTGGGGCCCAAATGTGCACAAATGTTGGACTCCGAACGCAAAACGGCCACAAACCAGCAATATTGGTCGAATTTGCACTGACTAAGCACTGTTCTGGCTTTCAGCTATTGCCTGATTCAGAGCTTCCCAGTCTTCAGCAGGGATGGAAACCTCGGGAAGGGTCACTGGGCTCATTGAGTCGCGCCTTTGAGGGACACATTTGTACGCAGCCAAGAAACACGTTGCATCAACTCACGGTTGAAAGACTTCATGGCATCCACCCAGCTGTCTGGGATCTCAAGATGTTTATTCCGGTACAAGTAAGCCCAGGCCAAATGAATCTTGGAGTCCATCCAAGTGTCCCCCAGGGACATAGATGAGAAAAGGTCCTTATCGGACAGTGCAAGGTTGCAATCCTTCTTGTGTCGCAGAGAGGGCCGCAAACTTGCACGCTGTTCCCAAAGCTTCAAGAGCTCCACCACAAATCCCTGTGGATAAGCCCTTGGCGCGGCGGTTGGCTAGGCACCAGCCAGCATGCAAGAGTCAACTGAGCGTCTCACCCTGTTTTGACCAGGTCGCCCGTCCCGGTGAATTGTTTGCGCCCACTTTTGGCGATTGTCTTCCCTCAGGCTCACAGGCTTCAACGTTGTCCTTTCAAGCTTCTCCTCTTTGCTGAGTCTGCCTTTGTCCAGCCCGGCTGCCCAGGCCACATTCGTGTAGACGATTGTCCTTTTGCTGGACCCACCGCCGTGGTGAAGCATCCAGAAGCGGACGTAGTAGGTCTGGGCAAGGGGGGGGACGGGGGTGGCCATGTTTAGGAAGAACTGGGCAGCACTCGAGCTGTTTAACATTTAATACGAACCCCAACTTGCTCAAAGACAAAACGCACCGCTCCCATGACATTCAAATTGGTTCCGAGGTCCAGGAAATACCAAGGGAGCTGGCTTTTGTATTTTTCGTGCTTGCACCCCTGGCCCCCACCCCGGCAACGATCCAAGACATCCACCCTCAAACGGGTACTAAATTAGTACCCTGTTTCATGTCATGCTTAAAGGGGGACCTCACTAGATGTTGTTCCTGCACAAGGGAAAGGGGGCAAACATGAGACCTTCAGGTTTTCAGGGGCTGCCAAAAAAGGGAAAGGGGGGGCAAACACGAGACCTTAAGGTGTTCAGGGGCTGCCAAAAAGGAAAGGGGGGGCAAACACGAGACCTTAAGGTTTTCAGGGGCTGCCAAAAAGGAAAGGGGGGGCAAACACGAGACCTTAAGGTTTTCAGGGGCTGCCAAAAAGGAAAGGGGGGGCAAACACGAGACCTTAAGGTTTTCAGGGGCTGCCAAAAAGGAAAGGGGGGGCAAACACGAGACCTTAAGGTTTTCAGGGGCTGCCAAAAAGGAAAGGGGGGCAAACACGAGACCTTAAGGTTTTCAGTGGCTGCCAAAAGGGAGAGGGGGGCAACCAGCAGACCTTCAGGTTTTCAGGGCTGCCAAAAGGGAAAGGGGAGCAAACATGAGACTTTCAGGTTTTCATGGGCTGCCAAAAAGGAAAAGGGGGCAAACACGAGACCTTAAGGTTTTCAGGGGCTGCCAAAAAGGAAAGGGGGCAAACATGAGACCTTAAGATTTTCAGTGGCTGCCAAAAGGGAGAGGGGGGCAACCAGCAGACCTTCAGGTTTTCAGGGGCTGCCAAAAGGGAAGGGGGGAAGCATAAAACCTTAAGGTTTTCGGGGGCACCCCTCAATATCACACCTTCCTTTTTGAGGGGTCAAAATCACTCGGAACCACCTCTCAAAACCACCCCTCAAAATCACTCCTCAAAACCACCCCTCAAAATCACCCCTTTAAAACCACCCCTCAAAATCACCCCTCAAAACCACCCCTCAAAATAACCCCTCAAAATCACCCCTTTAAAACCACCCCTCAAAATCACCCCTGAAAATCACCCCTCAAAGTCACCCCCCAAAACCACTCCACAAAATCACCCCTGAAATCACAGGGAAAGGAAGGTAAACATCAAACCTGCAGATTGTCAAGGGGAAAGGGCGGCAAACATCAGACCCTAAGGTTTTCAGGACGAAAGGGGAACCCGCCGCCAGATATTGCTCTTCCTGATGCCCGGGGTATGGTTGACCCCCCAAAAATGTAACAAGGACTTTTGGCAACGTGGTTGTAGATGCACCTCCAAGGGATCGGTCACGCCCGAACATCAATTGCAACTTTATAGGGTTGGAAGCAACGCACATGCAAGCAATTGGCGGAAGGCATCAAGCGACGCACCAAAGTCAAACTGCTTCAAAAAGGTTAAACCGTGTTGGGCCCCCAAGGAGGGTCACTCCAAACGAGTCGCTTTCAGGAAGCAGAACACTAGCGTAAGACAAGTCGCGTAGCAGGTGACATTCATGAAGTGTTCCCATCGCCAATGGCGTGCCAGCAACGTTTGGGAGGGGTGCTCCACCACAAAGTAGCAATGCTTGGCCAGTAGGAGGAAGCACACAAGGGTCAACCTGGTTTTGCTGACAGGTACCAAAATCCAACCCACGTGAGTTGAACCACAACAGGGGGTAGCAAAATTCGGAGCATCCCCCTGCCAAAGGAAAGTTAGCCAAGACCGCCAAACAGAGGGCCCCCCAGATGTTGCGAGCCTTGTTGTAAAAAAACTATCTAGGTGTTGCGGAACCTGAGACTGACCAAAGTACAAAGCCACCTCAAGCGGGTGCTATTTGCTGTTTTTCGTAACACCCCCAGGATGCCATCATTTGCCCGCAGAGCCACCCCTAAGCGGATGTTTTTTGTCTTTTTCGTAATGCCCCCCAAACGGATGCCATAGTTTGCCCCCGAAATGGAATTTGGGGCGCTGAGCAAAGCCTTTTGTTTTTTTTTCGCAACGCCCCCCCCCCCCCCAAACAGATATCATCGTTTGCCCTCAATCCAACCCAAGCGGATGTTTTTTGTTTGTGTACCCCCCCCCCCCCCAAGGATGCCATCACTTGCCCCCGAAATGGGAAATGAGGTCGCTGACCAAAGCCACCCAAGCGGACGCCTTTTACGTGTCCTCAAAAATACCCCGCCCCCAAACAGATGCCCTTCTTCGTTTTGTATCTCAGGGCTGCTGCCAGTGCCGCCCGCGCCCCTCAACCGCTCTGGAAACAATATGCGCAAAAGCAAACCGTGGGGTGAAAACGCTTTTTTGCTTGAAACATGATTGTTTACGTCCCTCAGAGAGCGCAGGTTCAGATGTACCGAGAAGGGTCCCTGTTTTTTTCTAAGAGTTTCCGGGTAGAATCACATGGCCCACCGACCGTTTGTCGCCCCCAACTTTATTGAAGACCGGGTCAAGCCCAGAATCCGCGATATGGACACATTGGACTCATTGACGAAAGGAAGGTGCTGCGCACCAACGGTGTTCATGTAGTTCCTTTGGCTGGTTGATCTGGCGGGCATTCCCCAGCTGGCACAGCAAGGACCGGCCAAGCAAAGTGCTTCCGGGAGCAAGCATAGCGCGGCGTGCAGAACACACCTTATTGCCGGTCAAGGGCGGCTATGTCTCTATCTCAAACTTAGTGCGCAATTGCCAGCGTTGCAGCTAGGCTACAAAAAGCCTGGGGCCGAAGTGAAGTCCATGGTTCTGCTTCCGGGGCAGAGCAACCGGT